TTAAGAAGGTTGATACATATGGTCATGAAAATATCATTCTCTTCTAAAGGCTTATCAACCATTGCTAATTAATTTGTAAGAGCCTTTACTTTATTGACATGAGCCATAAAATCTTTGACCTCTTCTATCTTCCAATTGAAGAATTCCTTCCTTATGAAGATAATATTGAATAAGTTCTTACTCTCATATATGTTGTAAAAAGTCTTTCATACTTTTGTTGGTCCTTTGCAAGAGATAATGTGAGAAAAATTGGCTTCATCCAAATTGGTGATAATTTTGCCAAAAGACTCCTTTTTATCTCTTTTGAAGTCTTTTTTCTCCTAAGCATCTCTATGTATACTTGGAAGCTCTTTATCTTCATCTTTAATATCCCAAAGGTCCAAAGATGCCAACAAAAACTCCATTTTTATCTTCCAATGGTAGAAATTGTTCTCTCTAGACTTTTCAATCACTCTCAAATCTTCACCTTTACTAAAAGCCATATCTAAAAAGAATTCTATCAAAAAATATCAAAACAAGGAGTCCCTATGTGCTCAAAATCATCAAAAAAATGTATACTAATAGAATCTTAGAATGCCCTCTTGTAAATAATCGAATGTTGTTTCACTCAAAACACTCTCAATTCAAGTTTTGAAGCTTCTAATAAGTATATGTACTCCAATGAATCTTACTATCATGATCTTTCATTCTATTAAACCAAATATTTCACAATACATATAAGGTAAGTAAAATAACTTCAATAACACAAAAAAAAAATATTATCAAGGTCTTTATATAAGGTCTTAAATTTACAATCCTAAGAGTTAAGAATCCAAAAAGTAATGTTAGAAATCTATATGGTCAAAATCAGCACTTCTTCATGCCAAAATATAAGTTTAGAACTTATAAATATGAACATCAATAAATACCATAAGGTTTATTTTACACAAGTACAACAACTAGAAAATGACATTAATTATTTGAATGACACAACAAAGTCTATGTAGGTCTATAATCAATTAAAAAAATACAATAAGCAAGACACTAGTAAATAGAAATCAAAAATATTACATACAAGAAAAATATGAAATGAGATAGCTTTCACTTCTAATACCCTTTACTTATAAGACAAGTTTATATCTATTATAGTTGAACTTTATCTATAATCATCTTTATCCTTCTTTGCTTCATCCAACTAAATCCTAAATTTCTCTTAATCTACCTACTACTTCAAACCATAACCACCACATTAGTAACTTACCTTTATTTTTTTATTATCCTTTGACCATTAGCAACTTATCTAAGATAATATCTTTTATATAGTATCTTATTTTTATTTTAATAAAAACAACTATTGATAGTGTTTCAAATGCTTTATTTGAAGGAAGTTATGAAAGCATCAACAATGATCAAATAACAAGTTGATCTTTCTATCCTAGTATGAAACACCATCAATGGCTAAGAGCACCTATCAACTATCTTCAAAGAAAACAAAGATCAAAGTATGTGACAAACATGATTTGTCATATTTTAGATTTTTTTCAATATATGATGATTGCTCCTTATAAAATTTGTTCCTAAAATAAGGAATAATGTCACAAAAATACATATTTATTCCAATATATTACCTATATAATTAGATAGAAGTATATAAAAATAGATTAACTTTATAATATCTTTTAGAAAAGCTTCTTAGACATGAATTTGATTTTACACATTTTTGTAGATTAGAAACTTGGTTCATAAGTTCACCATGTGTCATATGTGTTGATAGCTTGTAGAACAAACTAATTATGTAGAATACATATAGAAAACTTGAATTCCAAGTTAAAACATGTGACTTGTAATTTGGACATATGTCAAAGGTTATACAAAATATTGCTACATAATTCCTAATTAGATAGTATATATAGAGACAAGAGTATAGCTTTCTTCACTCTTTTTAATATTTTTCTTATTCTTTGTCTAGTTTCAAGAGTCTATATTCTTCTTGTTTTTGGCAATAGTCATTCTAATCTTAATATTATATTATTTTAGGAGTAAATATTTATTCTTCTTAAGTTATATAAGAGTGTTTTAAGATTCTTCTTATTTTGATTCATGTCCTTGACACTAGGCCATAATTAATCCTTAAGTCCTATAACAATTCTTAATGGTGTTCCAATTATTTTATTTGAAAGAAGTTATAAAAGCCATAACAATGATTAAATAACAAGGTTGTCTTTTTGGCTTCATATAGGACAATATTAATAACAAAAAATAATTATTAACTACATTAAAAATAAAAATAAATAAAAAAAAAACAAAGAATAAAGTATGTAAAAAATACAATGTCTTGCATCATAAACTTTTTCAACATGTGATCACCATTCCTTAAAGAACTTTTCTTTATATAAATTGGTAATGCTACAAATATAATTGAGAGTAGTAAGTACTCAAATAAAAGAAATTAGATAGAAATAAATTAAAATAAAAAATTATATAATATCTTATCCAAATACTTCTTAAATACTTTATAGACATGATTTAATTTTTTACATGTATATAGGTGATTGAAAGGTTAAAAAGTTGATCAACAAATTGGCATGTGTTATACATGTTGGCCACTTATGGTATAAGTTGGCTATATTGTACATATATAATACACTTACCTTACAAATTAGACATATATTTTATAAGGTAGATATATGATAGAGGTCTTATATAATGTTGCTATATAATTTAAGTTAAATATTATATATTGCTTCTAGATAATTTCAAGAGTCTATAGCTTTCTAATCTTTCATAATAGTCATTCTAACAACTAATTTAGTCTTTGTAAAAAACGATAATCACAAATCTTATATAGGTTGTAGCATCTTGGATTTAGCTATGAAGATAAGACTATTGCCTTGAGGCTTCACTAAGACATCCTTATATATTACTTGTGAGCCTTTGTAAAGCTCAAACTTTTGATCTCTTAAAGAGATTATCCTTAAAATCAAAATTATTTATTTATTTATTTTTAATTTATATTTTACCTTTAAATTATCATAACTTACTTATATTAATTTGAATTTTTATATTTTTTATGTCATTAAAAATATTTTAAAAATTACATATCTAAAAATATATTTTTTATTTTTATATCATATTTTTATAAAATAAAGTTCTTGTAAACAAATTGTGACTAATATTATAGTGTGTAATTGCTTAATTAGACTTATTTCACTTGTTTTGTATTGTTCTTCTTATATTCTTATTAGTTGCTTCTCTCACTTCATACCACCAACTACAAATAATTCTTAATTGAGGTCATTATATAATTTTGAATTATATGCCTATATATATATAAATATAATTGATATGTCATGGTGAATAACATAGAAAAATTAAGTATAATTTAAAATTACAATTTTAGTATCTTTTATAAAAAAATTATAAAATGATATATAATAAATTAACTTATTTGTGGTTTTTGGCCTTAAAAATATGTTTTCAATAAAAATAGCTAAAATCTTCTTATAGATATTATATATTAGATTCTTATTTAAATAATGTGTTTGTATATTTAGGTCAAAATATAAAGAGTCAATGAGAAGTTACAAAAATAAGTTTAACATTCGAGAATAAACTTAAGTTTAGATTCTCATTTTTGCCATCTTCTTTCTGACACAATTCAATTTTATTCTGAATGGTGCATTTGATTAATTAAATGACAATTAAGTTATGATATATTTTACTAGTTTAATACTTATTGTACTTTGAAATGCATGCAATATATTTTTAAGAATTTTAATTTCATCCTATATAAATAAAATTAGTATGCAAATTAATTCTTAGGATTATTTCATCTTTCAAATTTGTTTTTACTTATACTTAATCCAATCTAAGTTCTTCTCTAGTATAGTTCTAATTGAACCCAATTAATAGAGATTTTAAATTCTTAATCTTCATCATAAAATTAAATCCTAAACTTTGAAATCCTTGACTATTTTAAACTTCTACAATCTTTAAGAATCCTTAAATTCAAGCAATTCCAGAACTTAGCCAAATCTTAATTCTAACCATATATCAAATCTTATACAAATTCTAATCTTATTCAATTTTTAAACTCTAAGAAAGCTTAAATTCTATCTTAAGTTGAAAATTCCAAGCAACTTTGTTCTTTGATCAAATTCAAGACTTGAAATAAATCTAATTTCTATCCAACTTCTAAAATCTCATTTCAAACAAATTTTAAACCTCAATTTTTTTAATCAAAGGAAATTGCTTCTAAATACTTAATTTTCTAAATTTAATTTTGATACCAAATATATTAAAATAGTAGTGATTGATACTAATTTAAAATTTTAATTTTAAATCCAATTCAAGACCTAATAGATGATTTTGAAATTCAATTTTCTTACTTAATACCAATATTAAAATAATGTTATTTTTAAATAGATTTTAATTCTAGCTATCCAATGTAAATAAGTTCAGTGTTGCACTTTTAATGAGTACTGTAATTTTTGTTTATATATATATATATATATATATATAGTTATTTTATTTATTTTTTAAATATAAATTTGTACTCTTAAATTTTGATTATATTATAACTTTACAACTTTCTTTATGACTAAAAATTCAGGTAAGAAAAATATATATATATATATATATATATATATTGATATTTATTATTTGAGTATCTCTCTCTTTATTTTTCAACTTATTACTACACAAATATTTTATGCATGGATGTGCATACAATGCATACAGATTCTACAGAGCACTTAAAAAATCAAATCTTTAACAGCAGGTTTCTGCCCCAAGTCCGAAAATATCTACTAATGAAAAGAGTGATTATGATAAATAAATAAAAATACGTTTTATCATTCCATATTAGGCCCCAGATACAAAATCTTCAAAAAGTGGGCTTTGGCATCAACCCTTCGGGAAAGAAAGTCTCAAGTATAAAGACAATAAAAGCAAAAGGTTCCAAGCATGGCAAGTCCATTCGAAGGATCACGCGTGGTGGGAACGGGGTTCTAAGGACTCGAAACCCTAACGGGCAGATGGCCGCAGACGCAGCCGCAGCCGCGAGGGAGCGGGAGGGCGGAGAGTGGGAGTTCGAGGGTGGGAGACAAAGAGACCCTAGCGCCTTATTCGAGGTCTCTCTTTCATTCGCATGCCCCTCGCTGTGCAGGCAGTGGTTTCGGTGCACCATTCCGTCCTCGTCGCAGGGGCTCATCGCATTCGCAGCCATGTCATTCACCGCGCGCAGGAAGATCCAGAAGGAAAAAGGGCAGGAGCCTGACGAATTCGAGGAGTCGGTGGCACAGGCCCTCTTCGACCTCGAGTCCACTAACTCCGAGCTCAAGAGCGAGCTTCGTGATCTCTTCATCAACTCCGCCAAGGAGGTCGATGTCTCCGGAAACCGCAAGGCCGTCGTTATTCATGTGCCTTACCGCCTTCGCAAGGCCTTCCAGAAGATCCATGCCCGCCTCGTCCGGGAGCTGGAGAAGAAGTTCAGTGGCAAGGTGAGTTGGACCCAGTGTGATTTTGTTTTAGATTTCTTTTTATCATTGTGTGCGTAGTGCGTTTGTATTTGTCCTGTCCATAATTGCATCGTGATCATGATCATGTGCAGCGTCTCCACGTCTCTGTGATAGTTTTTGTGAAATAGGGTTTTTGGTGATTTAGGGTTTCTGCCGCCATAGACTGGAGATTGCTTATCCTGTTTATATCTCTGCGATTTTTTTCATCTATCTGTTGAGTGGATATTCCAAGGTTTAGTACGGTTATCAATCCATGACCCTCGGCACAGTACTGCTCGCCTGTGATTTTCATTGGAATTAGGGTTTGTATGCGTTTGAATTACCAGTGGAGAAGTTTTCGACTGATTCCTTCAAGGGTTTGATTGGTAGTGATTACATATGCTTGTTTTCTAGACGGAAAACACACGCACATCAGTGAATAATCAATTGTAGTTTCTGATTATCGATTGTTAGTGAACCTGTCGGAGTGTAGGCACATTGTCCAATTTTGTGGGATTTGTCATTTGGAGTGATAACCAAAGCTATTCGTTATTGTTTTTCAGGATGTTATAGTTATTGCCACCAGGCGCATTCTGAGACCCCCCAAGAAGGGCTCAGCCGTGAACAGGCCAAGGAGCAGAACCTTGACCGCTGTCCACGAGGCCGTCCTCGAGGACTTGGTCTACCCTTCTGAGATTGTGGGCAAGAGGGTACGCTATCGTTTGGATGGATCTCGCATCATGCGTGTGTATTTGGATCCCAAGGAGCGCAACAGCACTGAGTACAAGCTGGAAACTTTTGCCGGGGTGTACAAGAAGTTGACAGGAAAGGAAGTTACTTTTGAGTATCCTATCCAGGAGGCTACCACTGCTTAAGTGATTCAGAGAGCGATGGATGGATTTAGAGCGGTCTCAATCAGGGATGTTAGTGTGTGCCACCATCAAAATTCCGTGATTTTCTGAATTGCAATGTGAAGACTGTCCCACTTCAATATCATCTGGTTTTCTCTGGACATGATATCTTCTTTGTTTGCCTTTCTAAGCATTCTGAAGCTACGTATTTCAGGGATTTTGGTTTAGTTCGCTAATTTTTGTTTAATGTGTGCTGCTGTAAACTCCACGAGTCACTGTTTCCTTAGGTGATTGCCGCTAATTGGCTCGAATTTTCCTGTAGGATTGCACATGTGCCTCAATTTTACAATCGTATTTGGAGATTAACCGTGCACTTCAGTGCATCAATTACTCCTGTTTGTGAAGATTGGCTGCTAATTAAGCTATAACTTCGTGCCATTGGCTGTTGTTTTCTGTCGGCTTGGCGAAGTTTATTTGCTATGGGCTACTGCTGCTCATCAGCCAAACGATTTCATTTTGCTTACCCATTTAACATTCAAGTAAATCTCGCTCGGAAATTTGCCCGTTCAATTTAAGGGCCTCTGTTAACACGCGAATCTCGTAGCTGGCTTTGCGACTGCCCTCAAGTGCACCCATGGTCTCGACTTGCTCTACAGTATTGGATCAATCCAGAAGTGACTTGCTCTACAATGTGTGTGTGTCATGTCTACATTGGATTCTGCAGCAGGGATGTCGGCCCTTTCCTGTGCAACACACTCCTTTACCTCACGGTGTCTTATGTTAACATAATGCTAGTCCACAGGTACTCACTGGATTACTAATTGAAAATGAGACAACGAAGATGGTGACAAATTTTTCTTAGGGCTCTGCACATTTGTTGATGTAATCTCAATCTGTCCCTAGGGAAAGTGAACGGATTTCGCTTCATATTATTTGAGCTGCGATGTTGCACTATTTACCGTGTTTTAACTGTTACACATAATGGAATTTATTCAACTTTTAAAAGTTCATTCTATGAATCAAACCACTTCAAAAATCGAATCAAGATTACAAGTATTCATGAGCAACTCAGGTTGTAAATCACTCAATTCGACAGTTCATCAAAGATTCTTGGATTTAGAATACTAAGTACTTTTGGCATTGAACTTACCTCTCAATGTTATAGAATATCTTCCAACCTACCTAAAGGACATAAATAAGTCTTCTGCCCCATAGATCACTGAAAATAGCTCGCTGTTACTTTCTTAACGTCCTACTAGTTCAATCGTTTCAAGGAGACTACAAACTCGTTTATACAACAAAAGGTAAAAGTAGCTTGAAACGGGCCACCGCGAATCTAAAGAGACACCGCGGTGGACCGAGTTCCCGAGGACTGAGGTCTTGTTTTACAAATCAGGGCCTCCCCACACATTTCCTTCACATACGAGGAAAAGAAAAAAATTCCGTCTTCCCCTAGAGGGGGTGCATATATACAGGTCTCGTTGAAAAAGAAGAGGAGAAAACAAACTCCAAAAGAAATGTGGGGGCGGCTTCAGTTCTGTCATTGCTTCAGCTCACAGGTGACCCATCAAGCGAGACCGATCGCAGGAGCACTGGTCGTTACCGACATCGCAATGACATCGATGGAACTTCCTAAAAAGATCGTCACTAATAGAGGGTTTGAAGTTCACTTGAAAGATCGTCGTTACTCGAAGGAGATCACGATGGAAAAAAACAGGTCAAGCACGACAATGTACAGTGTTTCGAAAGTTGGATAGGTCTAAGCAAGCTGCGCCACCTCATCGACGTGCGACGATTTGATCATCGGCTTCGACTTGGAAGATTTTTTCCACCCAACGAAGGCAGCGACTTTGATGGATCGTATCTTCGATCCGTGAGGGTGTTTAATCTCCGGCGTCGGGACCTTCGATCTCTGATTCAGATTGTCAGTGCTCTCGGTCTCCGAGGTTTCTTCCACGTCCGAGAGAGGTCGCGGGGAGTGGCGCTTCTCGAAGGAGGATGGCTGGGTCTCAAGCACGCCGTCTTCGACTCTCCTGTCCGTCTTCCGGGAGACGGAGGAGTCATTTGCGAGAGGATTTGGCTCGTTCGCGGAGCCAATGTTCGCGTCCTTGGGACGGAGATTGGAAACAATGCTGTCGAGTTGGTTTCCGCCGGACCGTCCTGGCAACGCACAATCTGAATCGCAGCCGGAGCCCCTCCCCTCTGTCAGGGCTCCGCTGACCGGCTTCTGCTTGGTCGCCAAGTCAGTGGTGGGAGAGATCTTTGGAAGCGGCTTCACTGCGTCACTGCTTCGGGCTTCGTCGACGATGTCATAATCTTCCTTAGGTTCGAACACCGCGCTCTCGTACTCCAACTGTTGCTTCGCGCTCATCTTCCTGAGTAAGGCTCCCCACAAGCTCTTCGGTCCTTCGACATTCTCGTCGTCTCTGCTCATCAACTCCTGAACATGAGAAAAGCGCTACAATTAGTGTATAATCGTGTTCATACGCAAACCATCTGGATACTTGAGCTTCTCTAGATCTTCTCATCGACGAGTCTCTTTTCCTGTGATGCAGGACACCAGTCGTACCTGCTGTCTAGCACGCTCCAGGCTCTCGCGCATGACTGCCACACTCATTGAAGACAATGCTGGGGATGTCGCCTGAAGAGGTGTGCCACGGCCAGGAGATGAGCATGGAGATTCTGCATCCTTGAAGAGCAAAACCTGCAGCCACTTATCCAAATTCGACTTTCCAATTTCTTTTAGTTTTTCCTCATCGATGTCATTGCTTTGATGCTGCTTGGCGTCGTTTTGACGAACATTGTCCATATGAGTATCCAGTATTTGCTCCAAAAGCTCGTCCAGATGTCCTTTGGATTCAGACGGAGGATCTCCCGCTATAGCCTCTCCCGTCAGCTCCGACGTCGGTGTTCGGAATCGGGTTGGCTTGTAAAGCTTATCTACATACTTTTGCTCACACGATGCCGCAGTGTCTGCGTTTGCTTTGGAGCGCTCGGTTTGGACCATGATGACATCTTTCGGAACTTCTCGTTTGGAATCAGATCTTGACTCTCTAGTACTTGGAACTGGGATGTCAATGGCCGGTTCTGATAGCGGAGGCCGGCCACGCTCGAAGGCATCTCTGTCCGCCATGTTCAAATCATTTACACGTAGATTTGAATTTTGAGCACAATAGTCACGAAGCTCAGAAATAGGCCCTCCGTGAAACTGAGACAACTCCCTCAACAAGTTCTCATCATCTTTCCACGCAGCATCTGTGGAGAGGCGAATTGCAGGGCTCATTTCGTCATCGGCAAAGTCGCAATCGCTCTCACTTTCTGTCAGGTAGGACGTACAGATGAACTTGCATGAGATGCTTGCAAGGAACACAATAAAGTGCGATATAATGTGGTTTGCACCCAATCAGTTGCGGCGTCTAGGAGAATGTGGCGTACCTAGAGTTTCATTGTCGGCTTTGTACCATTGATGTGGTTTCAGCATCTCTCTCATCTCTACTGCTCCTTTTCTAGATTCCCTGAAGTACTTCGGACATGACGGTTCGGCCTCAAGCTTAGGTGGTGAATTCCGTGGCAACACCTCGACCGCTTCTTTCGTGTCTTCGACCTGCATTAAAACTGCTACGAACACTCAAAACAATCACTATACAAAGACTGATATGGCTATGGCCACAGCTATAAACTGCTTGAGGTCGGGATTGTGACACACAACGTTAACAGCTCGAGTTAGGCTGTGCTTAGAGGTAGTTACCTTTGATTGCATGTGTGACGAGCGACTTTCGTGCAGCGGCCTGCTGATGGTCTCGTCGAAAATTATAAATTTCGTCTCCCTCGTCATTAGTGTCGCTTTCAGACAACTGGTTCGCATTCATTATTAGCTTCTCTTCTTCCTCATCGTCTTCTTCGTCTGCTGCGCGGAGGAAGATACAGCTGGTAACATCAACAATATCTCGCCCTCGTGTGACCTGTTTCTTCTGATCCGTGGTAGTGCAGCCATTCACATTGCCTTGAACTGCTGTGGCTTCCAATTGTTCTCTCCGCGAGTGTTGCTGGAGAAGCTTGCCTTCCATAGCTTCGCATGAGGCCTTCTCGGAGTCGATACGAGCGATGAGAACGTTGCATGCTTCTCGGGTTAATCGCGCCTGCTCCTTATACGACAAAGTCCTTCGAAAAATAACCAAAAATCTCAGTGAACTAGAACAGGATACGTACTCAACCTCATCAAGAGCGCGAACCCAGACTGACCTCAGCAGATTCATCTCTAGTTCCTCCAAACAGCGCCTACACATTGAGGAAGACCTAAAAAAATGTTGGACACAATTTGGAACAGGATCTACATTTGCCATGAAATCTCTCAAAGAATTTTCGTCGACCAACATCTTAACCGAACGACCTCGAGATGCATGCAAAAGCTGAGGGCATCTTTTATGAGTGTCCTGATCCCTCACTGCCAAGGAAGATAACAAGAACAGCCGGCTGAAGAGGGATGAAACAGATTTAAGGGAATAAGGAAGGAGATTATGAGGAGGGCGAAGGCATACTGATGCATCGTATCGCGAAGTACTCGCTCCAAGCAGAGACGGTACGACGTCTGGCTCTCGGCCAATTTCCGCTGCTTTTCCAAACGGTGTTTGTGTTTCTTGAGCAAGGCCTCGAGTTCCTGAGCCTTGATCCTCTCTTTCTCACTCTCAAGCTTCAGCTTAACCACCGTCCCCTCCAACTGTGCTAGCTCATCCTCCCTCTCCCGTTTCTCTTCTTCTTTCATAATCTTCACGCGAAGCTCCTGCACATCAACGAAAAGATGTCAAGCTCTACACATGAATAAAGATGTCTATCAAGACTTAGAGTGAGTATGTGCGTATGATACCTTTTGCAATGCGGTTGTTGCTGCAGATTGACGTCCTGAAATGTCAGTTTGACCAGATTCACTGTTTTCCCGCACAAGGTTCCGCGACACCGCTCTCATAAACCGGTACTGCACAACCCAAAAACCATGACCCGATTGATAAACACAAGGTTCAGAAGAGCAGCAATGGTTGGAAATGATATCGATTGAATCCTAAATCCAAGATAGAAAGATTGCCTTCTCTTTTAGCTGCATCGCAGATCGATTGGTAAGAGCAGAATCGTTTTCTTTGATCTCTTTCCAGCTGCCATGTCCGAACTTGTTGACTCCTCGCTTCACAGCCTCTTCTTCTTCAGCAGTCCAATTTGGAGATCCTGGAGTGGAAAGTAGACACATGAGATTAACACTGAAAAGGCAATACACATTCACAACTCGAGAAGGAAAGTGGGTACTGATTTGCGGAAGCTTCTGGATTGAATACCTAAAATTGCACCATATGGATAGGAGCCTAAAATTTGCGATACTTCCACGCTCGTTGGAGCTGTAGCAGATCCAACTGAAGCTCGACCTTCGCCTCCCGAATCAGTCTTAGAGACGGTCACTATACCTGCTGCTGCCAGTCCGCACAGCGCCTTCTTTTCGCGGAACTGCTGAGGCCATGGACGGCATTCACCTACATGCTCTCTGGCAACTAACTCGTCCTCTCCTCCTGAAAAGAATAACGCAAATGACCGCTTCCTGCATACATGCGTGCTTCAATGTCTAAGAAACGACCCCGATTCTCTTCTGCCAGACTGAAAGAGAAACAGATTCGAGTTCTGGAAGACAAGCTTTCGAGGAAGGGCTTCAAAAAATCTGCGTAAAAACCTGAAATCGGCATTCTTTGCAGCGAAGGCCGACAAAAATTGGTTTATGGAGCACCCATGCTGCAAATCCCACCACGGTACTAAAAACTCAAGGCGATTCCGTTTCCGTGCGTATGCTTGCCATTGCACTATACGAAGGTTTGGCAACTCTGTCTTTCCTCCTCCTGAAATTTCCATCATCCAAAACCATTGAAAATCTTGTGGTACCGCAGGACTGTCGATCGTACTCCAGCGCCAGCAACGGAAATCCGGCACCGACCATGCAAAAGGAAGGAAGCAAGAATTTGTGCATAGTTGCAGTTTTAGAGGGCTTACGTGACTGAGGGAACCAGTGATCGATGTCCCAGGCGAGCGGCGACGAAGGATCGGCATTCCAGTGCACAACATTTCCGTAAGGGTCGACTCGGAATTTCTCCGGATCGAAGCCTGCATTCCTGCACTCCATTGTTGATGGCTTTAGTTCCAGGTTCCTTCTTCTCTTTTTTCTTTTCTTTTCTTTTCTTTATTCTTTTGTCTTAAAGGTGATGGTTTCTCCTTGAATTTAACATCACATTGGTACGTACCCGAGGTGATCAAGCTGCCGCCAAAGCTCTTCTGCAAATTTCTGAGCATTCGAGGAATCTCTCTCACTTTCAGCAACAACTGGAAAAACACTATCCCAGTCCTTCAAGAGCTGAAACTGCTCAAACGAACAACAAGACCATTAGCTTTATCACCGTCGTGATTTGAATTCACAGAGTTGAGGATTGAAATACTTCGCAATTTCCTGGACGGACGCTTGGCTTCAGCAGAGACGAGGAGCGCAAGTAGCTTACATCTTCAGGCTGAGGAGAAAACGGCACGAAGCGTTGTGGCGGGCCTTGGGTGAAGGGCATGGGCAATCCGGTGGAGTAGGCATGGCGGCAAAGCTTGGGATAGGCATGCGGGTACCCGAGCTGTGGGTCCACCTCAGTGTCCCCTTCCGCCAGAAATGTCATATCTTTCCTCAACTAAACTCTACCTGCTAGTTACCGAAACTCTCCGAGAATGACGACGATTCGCTTGACCAGTTGGTCCACGCCAGGGCATAATCAAAGAGAGGAGCGAGACACTAATGAAACACCAACGCAGGGCCTGTTCTCCAACAGCATTGATTGCAACAACGAAGAGTCGCAATCGCTCAGCTCCTGGCGCTTCAAAACCCGAGAAAACCAGACCTCTCAAATGTCAAACAAAAACACACAAGCGCTGCAACAACGGTCATCGAAACCTCGACTGAAGCGCAACAGGCAGCAGCACCGGAGCTCGAGGTCACCCACCTCGATCTTCGAGAACTTCAAAACCTGAAGAGGTCACAACTACCTCTGGCATATCACTGGCAAGAGGGGCATTTACTCGCGACTTCTTGATAAGCGTGGGCTGGAGGGGGCAAACGAAGCCCGCGAGCTTCATGGCTAATGATCCTCAGAGGAGCGAGCCATAACTCGCCCCACAACAAACTTCATAAAACCCACATTTAAGTCTGGTGCAAGGATGGAGCCTTTACCATTTCCCAGAAATGGAAATTCATATCCGAAGCGGAGCGAGGATTGGCTGGGACGTGAGGCTCATGCTACATCATGCGTCATCGGGGCCAATCACAGCAGCTTGCCCATAATTGAACCTCGGAACATGTTTCTGCCCGGTGAGTGGTTCTCAACTGCGAACAAACAATCCTTTTCTCCGTGGGAGTATTCCGGTTCAGTCTCTTCCAACACCAGCCACGAAATGGAAATGGGAATTTTGGGAGGCCGACATCGTCAAAGCTCTCCTCCTCCTCCTCGGTGCCTCCCATCAGCAATTGCTGACTCGGATTTACAGCGCATTGGAGGTCGCTCGGGGACTCTCACGATCCATCGGAGATATCACGATGGATCTAACTCTCTTCGAACCAGAATCTATTGTTGCTGTTGTTATAATTTAGCATCCTTACTATTCATGATAATTTGCAGAATGATCACAAGACTGACAGTTTATCAGGCACATCGTTCAGCAGGGACGTTTTGGTTGGGCGGAACGAAGCAATAATCCAATTCAGAGCGTTCATGTAAAAAAACAAAAAGAAAAAAAAAGAGGATGTTCTGACTCAATTAAATGCATCGATCCAGTTCGCGAGACGAACAAAGCAGTCCCTGGAGAATGTTCCAAACCTCGTAACCGCGCTATGTACGGAAAATCTGAGCCTGAGCAGAAGAGCCTTTAGTTTATCATACTATACTAAATGCAAAATTAGTATATAGTATAGTATGATAAATAGCGTATGTGTGTTTCGAGGCGTTGGTGGGATGTGGATGATAAACTGGGATGTCGTCCGTTTAATAGTTGACCATTCGTCATGGGGTCCGATCTCCGAGAAAGGGGAACTCCTGAGACAAGCGTTAGAAGGTTCCAGCGCGCGGGGTTCCCATCCATTGTGGGATTGCGTCCATACCGTTCCATCGCGTTCCCGGCGTGTGCCCCAAGTTCCTGGAGTGTAATATGTAGGTGTAAATGTGAACAGAGTAGACTTGTAGCTTATGCTTTAAATTCCTTCACATTATCCTCTTTGCTTTCAATTTTGTTTGGAAGCATGCTGTCAAAATACTCTGGGCGATATTTACTATTCCTTGGTGAGCTGGAAGCTCAGGTGGATTGTTCTGAAAGAGCTGACGTGTACACCCAGCTCGGTACGTTATTTTGCAAAAATTTATTTAATTATTCAGTTTGTTTCAAAGTTTTGGAAATAATGAACAATGTGTTTTATCTTTGTGAAATGAGTACTAGATCATTTATTAGCTTCTTGCTCATTGTTTTTAGTAAGTAATCATAACGCTGTTATAGAGTCTCATACGTTTTCTATGTTTTAAACCTAATATATTAAGTAATTCTAAATTATTAAAAGGTATGAAATTGAATCCAAGCATACAAAATGATAAGGAAGTCGGCTGCTCGACCATACTTGTTGAAACCTTGTATAGAAATGAAATGGAGGCTAAATGTAGTGCAACGAAGTTGATTTTTCTAATAAAGTTCTTTACAGTTAATATCATTTTTAATATATTTTGAGAAAAATTGCAAATATTTGAAATAATAATAATGATACGGAACTAACAATTTTGTAGCAAATTAAAGTTTTAATTGTTAATTCGAAAATTTGACATGGACAAATAAATCCCACTTGCTTTTACCTGAACAGAGAGAAACATCTTAGTCAGATTCTTATAACTCTCAAAATGAGTTGTACTATACCAACATGGTATTCGAATGCTAAGAGGATATCTCTTAGACGTCTTTACAATATCAGGTTACAATGTCTAGCCACCAATGAAACAAGATATCTCAGAAACTTCCGGATGTTTCGAGCAATGAAAGTTGACTAATTGTACACCATGTATTTAGGTGTTGCACTAAACTTCTGGTATCCTTTGATGACCTTATTGACAGCTTCCAAGAAGTCTTTCTCTGTCACAGTCTTCCTGCGTGCACGAATGGCATACATACCTGCCTCCGTACACACACTCCGAATATCCGCACCTGAACAGGAACAGCTTGGTTCAGGCGCATGATTTTAAAGTTTTATACAGGTATTCATAAGCTCAAAATACTACAACACTCGGCTTTACAGAATGTTCCATCATTGATCTTGTGACGGAAGTTAACATAGAAACCCAGAATTATACACGTTACATCCAAGAATGTCTAGTTCTGTAGAAAAAATTGCAGGTAATGTAAAACATTTCGAACTTTTCATCGAAAAGGTATTATAACGTAAATTCCAATCTTATCCGACAGCTACATTCAAGAAAATATCATATTCTAAACACGGATACAACCGATCTGAATACAAAAATTAGCAAGAAAAGAATCAGAACCTGTTGAATTAGGGCAAAGGCGAGCCAGAAGCTCGAAACGAATGTCTCGTTCTGTGTTCATGGTCCGAGTATGAATCTTGAAAATTTGGGTTCGACTTTCAAGATCAGGCAACCCGAACTCCACCTTACGATCTAACCGACCTGGCCGTAAAAGCGCTGGATCCAGAGTATCAGGTCTATACAAACCACACTTGCTTTCGTAAGGTGACTAAGCTTTCTAGATTCACAAGAATCAGTCAGGTGCGGGTATATCTACTTTCATTGATTCTTGCGCCATACATATCTACATATCCTAGACTCAGGCTATAGAAGCAGAGCAGCATAGACGTTGCAACTAACATTCGAAAGAGGAATCTTACCTGTTAGTTGCCATCAATACTTTAATATTACCACGGGCATCAAAACCATCCAGTTGGTTGACTATTTCGAGCATTGTTCTTTGAACCTCGTTATCACCTCCCAACCCATCGTCGAAACGAGCACCTCCAATGGCATCTACCTCATCAAAAAACACAATGCACGCTTTCTTTGAACGGGCCATCTGCTCACAAGTTCCATAAACAAATCGCACCACGATAAGCATCGAAGTAGGCCACGTGAATACACAGTACTTAGCGTTTGAGTAAACAATACACTGGCGGTCGTTAAAGGAGAACATACGAAATATACAGAACACATCATACTTCGAATCCAGATACGCAATACGAAGCACAGATGTGAGTATACAGGTTCCAGGCGAATGACTAAAGGATAGTCTCTAAATCCAAACCATATCAAACCTCAGGGATGTGAAGTGATTAACGATTGACTTGCCTGGAAAAGCTCACGGACCATCCGAGCACCCTCTCCTACATATTTCTGAACAAGCTCACTGCCAATAACACGAATGAAGCAAGCATCTGTCCTATTGGCAACGGCTCTGGCTAACAAAGTCTTGCCAGTTCCGGGAGGGCCATAGCAAAGGACTCCTTTGGGCGGATCAATTCCCAATTTCACGAACTTCTCAGGATGCAACATTGGCAACTCCACCACCTATTCAGTACAACCACGAATTACCATGTATCAACACCTTTAAAACCAACGGGCTTGTTGCCACACTACCTTTAAAAACAGCTATCTTTACCACATCAGCAACATAAGTCAATGAGGGTAGCATTTTAACAAGACGGGGTGAGCTTCATATCGTAATATCGCATCAAATCACAAACATGTAGTCGAACAAAGCATTAGAAAATATGTGAAAGCAATAAAGTTGGTTTCATTTACCTCACGCATCTTTTCTATTTGCTCTTTACAGCCACCAATATCATTGTAGGTGACATCTGGCTTTTCCTCCACTGTCATCATTGTAACGCTGGGGTCAATCTTAGGAGGCAATGGAATCTGGATTTGATACTTGTTTCTATCTACCCTGCACATGTATATTATGACCGAAAAAGTTAACATCTCGAACAAAATACCAGCTTTTAATCATCATCTCCTTCCTTCGATACTGCAGTAAAACGAACGTCCAGACAAGTGAGGCCCAACTAGAGACCTATCTTCACATGATCAATACAGCTCACTCAGGAACCGAGTATAAAGTAGAACGAGAAGTTAAGAAAACGTACCCAACACGCATGCCCTCCTCTATGTCTGTTGGAGACACCTTCTCGCCCAATCCAACGACAAACTGTCGTACAAATCATACGAGCTTTAAGATAGAATTTTGGAAAAGCTCACAATGAATGTTTATCAACACAGCATCAATCGATTCATGAACCAAAAAAACTGCTTCAACGGTTCAATGATAAGACCAAAGAAATCCGACTGCCGACACGTGAAATATTCAAGTGGGCAGACTAGCAGTTCAAGCGATTTAGTTCAGAGACTTGTGAGATCATACCAAGAACATCCAAGACCACTGAAGAAAGACCGTTAATTTCCCGAGGAAACGTAGCATATCCATGCTGTAAATTTCTACATAATAGCTTCTTATAATTGTAAAAGCAGTGTAATACCTTAGCAATCTGCTTCACATTGATGACGTACTTGGAGTCATCCGTATTGGCATTGATAATTTTTGTACACCTAGCAACCTGCCATAATAAACAAACTAAGTTAACTAAACTACAAGTGAGTCTTTACCAGTGAGCAACTCTGCAACAATACGCACTGCTTTGCCGAGCCGGATGCCAGCACCCAAGGTTAGAGTTTACATACCTGCAGTGGTTGTTCCTCTTGCATCATTTGTTTGTCCGATACCAAATCCCACTGACTGGGCACTGCCAATCCAGTGTCTGACTCTTTGATTCCTGCTCATAAATTGATACAAGTAATTGTCAGAAAGTGAATGGAAGCCAAAAAATTGAGAAGCACTGTATCATAAAATAGGACCCATAGCTCAAAATTCCCGTGCGTTACACCGGGCTCAAAAAAACAAAATGGTTCATACCACACAAGTCGTTGACCTTCTTAGCCATCTCTTTGATGTCTTTTTCGGTCTTCTTAATAGGATTTGCATATGGACCCAAGCCCTGCAGATCCAACCACGCACATAATTATTGATAAAACAAAAATTTCCACACCCTAGAGACTACCCGTTTTCAAGAAGGATTGAGGCGACGATCGCCAGGCAAACCCTAAACCTCGGAAAAACTCATAAGCGACAAATGATAAGAACAAAGTCCTGATGATGTCTACAAACCATGACTATCTCAAAAAATTACGTTTCACATTGAAAATTCGAAGAGACAGTGCGACATGACAACTCGAAAGCGTTTCGAAATGAATCTGCGCCTGAAAAGACTAGCATAGAAAAATGAAACTGCAGTAGGGTACAAGAGTTCCATCAAGTATTCGTAAAGTGCAGTTCCAACTCAGGTCGATAAAAGACGAGCCAAACTCGTCTTTTATCACCAATTTATCACGAGCTTCAAATCTTTATTCACGTGCGAACCGACTCTTCCTTTACACTCCAAGCCCATCAAACATTTGTGTGTGAGTAGCAACCCTAATAAAGTGTAGAACCAATCCCTGAAACGGGAAAGACTGACGGAATCAACACAATCAATCAGATTTCAATACTAGAAGGTTTAAGCAACACAAGCTGGTGATATCCAATCAAAAACAAAAACCACCACAAACCCCTGCCGATGTCTGATCTACTGTAGATTCAAAAAGTAGCACAAAAGTGTCGCCACATCAATTTTCTAGAAACCCAGCAACCACGCACCGCAACTGAGACACATATGCCAGAGTAAAACCCCTCAATTACATATTACTTTGTAACCCTGGATCACGACCACCGCAAGGGAGGCGATCCCACATCCACACAGACCCGTCCCTCGAGATTGAAGTCATCGATCAATACTTTTTTCAAACGAAGTCAGTGTACACAACGTAATGCGCAATCAAAATCACACACATTCTACATCGAGGCCGCACTAAATGTTCTCGAGGCGGGTCCAAATTTGCGGCAAATGACGCAAAAACTGCGAAAAGGAAGGACATGGGCACTTACATAGGTTTTGAGAAGGGCGATGTCGTCCTCGTCGAGCGGGGCCGGGTTCTTCTCCTTGAGTAGATCGTCGGCAATGTCCGCCATGGTGCGCAGAGCTGGATTGCGATGGCAGTAGCGATGCTACGGAGCAACAAGAGCGTGAGTGAGTGAATCGGATCGAGTTAGGGTTTGGTGCGGAGGAGGACCACACCGCGCATTCGACAAGCGCTTATTCGCTGAGTTGATGCTGCGATGGTGTTGTTTAATCTCACCGGCGACGAAGAGGACGACGACGACGACGACTAAACGACGGAGCTAGCGACGATGACGACGAAACTGGGAAGTTGACGAAGATGACGACGAAAAGCTGTAATTAAACGTAAAAGCTTCAGATGTGGAGCCACTGTTGAATGTATTTAAAGTAAAAGTCTTGTGCGTGGTGGGTGTTGGGAAGAGGTGTCTACTTTAAATGGGAGAATACGTATGTTGGAAATAGTGTAAAAACATGTATCAATTCTAATAGGGGGTTGGACCTTTATCATTTTTTCCACAAACTATTAAATTTTACAGTCCATGGGCTTAAGAAGGCAAATGCTTTTAGTTAATTGAAGTTTATCATATTTGAATGAATGTTTTGAAAAGAAATGAACTTGTAGTTTGTACATTTTATCCAAGGAAATTCATTCAAAAAAAATTATTGATATATAAGTATGACATAAGATAGATTAAATTAAATTTCTATTAATGACTCAACATTTTAAAATTTTATATTATTTAATTGTCTTTTACATTGCTAAGACGGAAAACATTGTATGTATAGAATACCGCATTTTAATATAATGAAGCCTATTTTTTTTCATTTTATTCAAAAATAGTTGCAGGATCGCTCTTATTTTCAACATCCTTTTAAGTAACTGAGTAAACTATTTTATTTTGAAGCCAAGACTCTAATAATGTGAAAGAATATTTGGAAATTTTCCACATGCTAGTATGTAGAAAAAGGATGTTTTTAATAATCATCATAAATAAAATAATAAATAATTAAATGAATGTCATAAACATCAATAAAAATAATTTACAGACCTTTCAAATTTAGAATTGTTGTCAGTTTTTATATTTAAGAATTGAACACATTGTCACACATATTTTCAATAGTCAATAGTCTATGTTTTTTCTTTCATGTATTTAGATTTACTATATGAAGATGATTTTTGAATAGTAATTAGAGAAAAAAAATTTAAAAATGGATTAAAATTGAAATTTTAGCCTGTTTAGCTCTCAATTATTTAAGCTCCTCGGAAGACCCATTTCTCCATTTGGTCCTCCACCTCTCACTGAAGTCAGCCATTATCTAGCAAAATATATTCTACACTAATAAAATAAAATAAAAAACATGAAACACAATTGATTCATCCGAAATCTCGTCATAAAAAATAGGAATAATAAAGCCAGCTTTTTTTTTTCATTGAAAAATTACAAATTGGATCTAGTCAACCTTTACTTTGGATCTACTTCATTTTTAATAAGAAGTCAAAGTTTTCGATAGTTTCAATAACATTTTTCTTGAACAGTGAATGGCCCACTCATTTAGAATTTATGGACAAAAATCAAACATATCATGCTTTGTCTTAATGATCATTCATGCTTACAAAAGAGATTTGTGGTTGACAAGATAGTTTGACATTTCAATTGGGATGAGTAGACATGGTTTCATTTTCATTTTGTTGATTATTTTATGGAAAACAATTCTCCCACAAAGTTGATGTGATTTGATTATCACATAAAAAATATATATATATTCATGTCTTTCTGATTAACACCATGAGTTGCAATTTTAAGCAGCTGAAAAAATATGATGATAATTTTATTAATATTATTATTGACTTATTACTTTTTTATATAAGAAATAATATTTTTTTAAAAATGACATACATATATGCATATGTATAATTTATGTTCATTTCATTATTTCAGATTGTACATGCTTTTAACATCCTTGGTTTACCATGATGTAGGATGTTACTCCATTTGAAAATAAATTAAAAAATTAGAATACACATATTTTATTTTTTAAGTTTTTGAATGACTAATGAAAAAAATCTGATACTTGAAAGTATCAAATTTTGAATGTGAATACTTTAAAATTTGAGTTTAGTATTCAGTTTGTTACGTATGTAATTATGGTTTGCCTTGAAATTAAAAACTACATAATTACTATTTTAATTTTTTAAATTTGAATCTTATATTGCTTTATCACAATTTGAAGATAAATTCAAACTTTTTTCTACACCTGATTTGGTATATATATTTTAAATGTTATAAACAACATTTTTGTTACAAAACTCACCTTACTTATTTGCAAAGCTCTGTCATGCTCAACTATTGTCACGACAGATTATTTTCATTTTGTTTTTTGTTTTTTGTTTTGTTTTTTCAATTGCATGGGATTGTGTTTCAGTAATGACTATACATATGTATAAATTCAAAATTTTAATTTCAAGGCAATAATGTTTTTTAAAAATAAATTAAAACCCCAGGATTTTTTATTTTTTTTAATATTTGTATTTAAATATTTAGATACACACATGTGCACAATTTTGGTGTTTGTGAATGTCAACGTTTGTGTTCCTCCACTTCCTTCCCATTGAAGGAACTAAACCCCTCCTCCTCCTCCCATAAATACATTTATGTTTCTTTTAAACATGAAATATCAAACCATTCATTGAAAATTAATATAATTTAGGGAATATAAATCTGTTTAAGGTGGTCTGTTGAATCATGTGGCATAAAACATGTGGTTTTCCACATGATTTTTTTCTTTTTTCTTTTTTCTTGCTTTAAAAAGAGGATTGAGAAATTTGATGTGTAAACATCAAACACTCAGAGAACGTCTTTGAAATCTTCCACTCAATTGGATGATTCAATATTCAATGCAATGAAGATTTATAGAAACCACTGAGATTTCAAGTATATATTTTTTTATATACTTGAAAGTATATATTGATGAGATTTATATATACTTGAAAGTATATATTGATGAGACTCATTTTTAAGAAAAATAAAAAATGGCTTTTGTATTTGACTTTATACATGTTTAGAGTTGATTATTAGGTTAGAAACTTGGCCAACAAATTAGCCATGTGATACTCAATGTGGTAAGCATATATAAAACTTGTCTTGCAAGTTAAGACACATGTCTTAGAAATTAGACATGTATTGAAGGTCCTATAGAATGTCACTACATAGCTTCTAATTAGATAGTATATATGGAAGTAAGAGTGAAACCTTCTTCACTCTTGTTAATGTCTTTCTAATCCTTAGTCTTGTTTCAAGGTTTTATAGTCTTCTTGTCTTTGGCAATAGCCATTCTAGTTTAATGTTGTACCATCTTTGTGTGATTTTTTAGTCTTTTTGAGTGATATAAGAGTGTATTGATCTTTTGGTCTTTTGATATTTATATCTTTGTTATTAAGCTTTTATATATAAACATACTAGTAAATGATCAAATTTGTAAATAATAATAAAAAAAACTAATAATTATTATGTAATAGAGTTATGTCAATTGTGTGCTATTGTTATATGTTTTCATAAGCCATTTTAATAATAAGGATAACAAAAGATGAATTTTAAGGCTAAGTATAAATACAAAGTTATTAGCTTTAAAAGAAAATTTAAATCAAACTTAATAATGAATGTTCTATCTTTACTAATTTGCAAATGATTCTAGTGCAATATTATATTATATTATTTTTATTTTTTATAAAAAAAATCCAATAATACTAAAAAATCTTTTAAAGCTAAAAAGTTCTATATAAATCTAATACAAGTAAAAGACTAGATTATTTAGCAACAAGCATGATAATATGTTATATATTGATCTGTAGAATTTTGTGATAATTTTAAATCTAAAAATATTATAATTTTTTTTATTTTTATTTTTTAAAAATTTTTAAAGGTTTATTATTTTCTATTTTACTTAAAACATTTTTTAAAGAATAATCATAGATCCAATAGTCATGCTAGTATATACATATAGAACATACATATTATACATTACAATAGAAATTTTAAGAAATGATAAAAATCAAACCATTGTTTGATCTTTTGGTTTGTTAATAAATATATTATTATTAGAAAGAATTATCATTTTTCACTTAATGTTATGGATATAAATATGTACTTGTCATGGATATACATAGATACTCTAATAAATACTTATATGATTAGGTAGAAGTATGTCAAAATAGATAAAAATAGGTTAATTTCATAATACCTTCTAGAGAAGCTTTCTAAAAGCTTTTTAGACACTGCTTTGACTTTTCATGTGTTTGTAGTTGATTGATAGATTAGAAATTTGGTCAACAAGTTAATTAAGTGTTGGTAGCTTGTGGAACAAGCTAACTAAATGGCGCACATATAGAAAACTTGCCTTGCAAGTTAAGATATGTGTCTTGCAAAGTCAATACGTTTTGGAGGTCCTATAGGACTTTGCCATATAACTCATAGTTAAAAGTATATATGGAGGCAAGAGTGAAGCCTTCTTCACTCTTGTCAATGCATTTCCAATTCTTAGTCTTGTTTCAAGACTTTCTAGTCTTTTTGTTTTTGGCAATAGCCATTCTAGTTCAATAGTATATCATCTTTGAGTGACTTTTTAGTTCTTTTCAGTGTCATAAGAGTGTATTGAGGATTTCTTTCTTTGAGATTCATGTCCTTGACACTTAATAGTCTCTAATGACAATTTTCTAAATTCTATAAGATCTATGAGTTAAATAAAATCACACTTAAGTCATCTTAATTAACTGAGAATTAAATACAAAAACCATGGATGATAAGGATATTGTAATTAAGTAATAATCAACATTATTATTGGTAGATAAAAAAAAATATCACTGATTTTCTAAAGCATGAGCTAGAAGTTATAAATACAAAATATAACTTCATAAAACATTCAAGTTCTATAAAAATAAATAAAAATTACAATTATCTTACATAATTTTTAATAAAAAATTAAAATAAATAATAAAAGAATAATGACTACATGAAAAAAATCTTAATAAACATGTCTATTAATGTTTTTTGAATCTTACTTTAAATTTGCAATTATTCAAAGAAATGATAAATCTCACTATATTTAATAAGTTGCAATTTGTAAAAAAACTATGTGAATAATGATAAGAACTTTATGTAAATTTGCATCTATGTATCAACCCATATACACTAAACAATTTGTTCAAACAAGTTTGTAATCTATTTGCATGAAAAAAAATGAGATATATAATTTTCTATGATTTCCTTCTTAAAAATCTTTGGTTGTCCTTCTTTCATTATAGATTCAATAAACATCAAGAAATACCATATATAAAACATGGTTCAATAATTAATATTAAAAGATTTTCAATTAAAAATATTAAATATTAAATATTATATTTATTAAAATGATTTTTTTTCATTTAAAAAACTTTTATTATTATTTTAAACAAATGAAAATGTATATTTTTAATTCATTCTATTTTTTCAAATAGGCTTCTTAATAAAATACATACATATATATATATATATATATATATATATATGCTATGTGCAATAAAATCAAATTTGTTATTATTCAATATATCTTATAATTATTTGACACATAAATACAATTGTAGAACCAAAGTGACCATATTTGTATTATTTCAAGAATTATGATAATCCCTAATAAAAAAAGTTCTCTTATCTATTATAGTAGAAACAATATTTTATACATGATGTCTGCTATGACCATCAATAAAGCTTAGTTTCTTATTGGATGAATGTATAATGTATCATTATTGTAATTAAGGAGGTGCAAAAGCAATTACTTTTGATTTATTTTCTTATCAACAATGGATGAAATTGAATATATATTATCTTTGTTCTACACTAAATTATATTTTTTATTTTATTTTATTTAAAAAATTTAAGCATGACTATCTAAATTCAAAATAATTTGATTATTAATCAAATTATAAATATTTTTTGTTCTTTAAAAAATCTAAATACAAGAATAATACATAAAATTTGGACTTATTTACACAACTTTACTCAAATTTTCTCTTCACCAAAGACACAATTCCAACTAATAACCTGTAATCAATACTACCAAATAAATAAATTCTATTTGAAATATTTATTTGATATTTTTTTATTAAAAATTAATAACATAACTTAAAACACCAACACTGTACAATTTAATATGTGCTCTATTATTTAGATTGAAACCTTCATAAATTAAGGGAAATATTAAATAGGCCAAAGTTTTTACTAAATCAACCCACGGATCATGAAAAACAAAATAGCATGAAAAACAAAATAGCTTCTAGATTCATTTCTCCATTATTGGATCTGCAACCAATAAAAACCAATCATATTCTTCATCAAGAGTGAGTAAATTTAGTAAAATCATGGGTATATTTAGTATTCCCCTAATTTAAATCCAGTGAAAGCAAATCTCGAATTTTCTGAGAAACCCTAATTTAGTCGAAGAAGCGCAAATCATCATCTCCTCGGAGAACGCGAAACCCCAATTTAGTCGGAGGAAGCGAAATACCTCACGCTCGCGGGAGGAAGAGAGAAAGTGTGTGTGCTAGTATTGATTGGAAGGGCGATGGCGGTGTCGCGTCAGGGAGGAAGAGGAAGTGGGGAGCTTTTCCTTTTTCACAAGGCGGAATCCACAGCGTAGGGATGATCCGCTAAAACAGCTGTGTATGAATATGAAGCATTTACGACTCTGTCCGTGTCGGCGACGGCGTTCACGTCACCGTCTTCGCGACGAGCTTTTTCCGCGCCGGAATCATTCGCTGGGAGCATCACACGGCAACAGAGGGGGCTGATCGGATTGCGAAATCAATGAAGCAGGGAAGAAGGTTTTACCCTCGTGGGAGATGAAGTGTGGATGCAGAAAGCCAGGTGCAAATTTCTTTCCAGGGTGCGGAGCCACAAACTCATGGATCCGGTGGGCTAGTGTGTCGCGTGGGAGGCGAGGTGTATTTCCTGGAGCACTGTTCCCCTGAGCCCTTTGACCGTCGACAGAGCAGGAGATGTGGCATCGAAGCATGCGTCCTTTTGGTGCGCGCGGCCCCACATGGCACAGTTTACCGTTTTTTGTGGTGTATATGAGGTACGGCCGTCGACGTCAACAGAAACGACCCATCGGAGGTCCCTCGCCCACTCGATCGCTCCCTCCATGAAGTGGGCGCTCGGATCCTCTTCGCCCTTTCTTGGCCCCCAGTAAGTAAGTAGCCCTCATCTCTCTGTTTTGCTATCTTGGCTCATCTATAGTAACATGTTTTTATTTCGTTGTTGTCTCAGCTTCCGTTGTACGATGCAAAAGAAAAGGTTGCATCAAGTGTTCGCATGGTGCCTGCCGAGGTGTCCACAGCAGGATCGGTTATGGAGCTTTTGTGCAAGCAAGTAACCGAGAGGGAGCCGTGCAGGTCCGAGTCAGAGAATGTCAGCATGTGATGATGGAGAGCATAGTCTGGCTTTGCAACTAGTGGCTGAGAAGCGAATTATTTTGAGTCGGATGCTTTGGAGGCCGCTTTTATCCTTGCTCGTGTTGCTATTCTTATTTCGAGGCATGTTTCAGGTTACAATTGGTTGAATGACGCTCTAGTCTGGTGATAAGACTTTCGCTTGGTGTCTAAAAGTTTCAGCAGTAGGCGTCCCTGCTATTTGGTTGGGTAATTTTAAATTCCACGAGTCAATTGCTGTAGTCCAATGAATCGATCTCCTGCTTTTACCCGAAACCTGAAGACTTCCTGAGTTGGCTGGCGAATGTTGTGAGAGTCGCTTGTAACAGGGGAACTGTCTGGTAAAGACCACGCAGTGTAGAGAATTAAGGGCCGTGGATCAAATTCATACGCTTGGTTTATGATTCTATTAGATTGCAGCGCTGGATGCTACTCTTCTGTTTCAAAGAACGAAGAGCATGTTGTAATGGATCAAAGTAATGGTGGAAGTTGTAACAAAGTTGGTTTATAGTTTCGATTGTACTCAACATTCACATGTCTAATTTTGGTATTTTAAAGGTAGACTGGAATCTTGCGTCTGTTCTCCTGGATGTCATGAGAAAATATCATGCCTGACGTGTCGGTTTTTATGCAGATTCAGCCTGTGATGCCTCTGTTCATGGACGACCCTCAGTTTATGCAATTGATTAGTTCCGTGCCCCGAATTTTGAGACTCTGCTGTTCATATCGCCTCCCTGTTCTTGACCACACTTCAAGTTTAGTGAGCAATCTCGGTGCAAGGCACTTGTTGGGTCAATCCTTCGGTCGAGTGTTCTCAAGGCTTCACATATTTGCGAAGGATTTGCGTGAGAGAGTGTGAGGATGGCAAGCCTTAACAGCCACCAAGAGAAGTTCGTCGGCTCGAAGTTACACCATAGCTCCAGCAGCTATTCCAGAGCGTCAGAGTTAGCAGCAAGCAAGATTATCCATAAGCGCAGGAGAGCTTCACGCAGGACGCCTACCACGATTCTGAAAACAAGCTGCCAGGAGTTCAGAGAGGCAGTGCAGAAGCTGACAGGGTTTCATCGTCCAACAATGACAACCTCCTCCAAGACGTCGCAACCCAAGATACCAAGCTACGAACACGATGTCAATCCCCGTCAGGTCAACTGCGAGGATGACACTCAAGTCCCACTTCAAGTGCACAGCTCCTCGCAAAGTGTGCCATCGGATCTAACCTTGGAACTTCCGGACGCCAATTTTTTTCAACAGTTTTTGCGATGCAACATGGACTCCACTAGCCCTGGCACGCATGAAGATCGCAGCAAATTCGATGCTTCGGTTCCCAGTTTACGAGGAGCTCGATTCCCAACTTTTGCAAACATGCCACCGGGCATGAGAGCGGTGTATCGTCAGCCAGTCCCTCCGCCAGTCCCTCCTGATGGCCCCTTCGGCCCGTCGGGCCTGCCCCTTATGCCATCACTGTGGGACATACTCGGCAGTGATTTCATGAGCTCCTTGGCTAAGCTTCAAGATCCTGGTCTGGCTCCAAATCCTTACCTGATTGCGCTGGAGAATCAGTTGCTGGCCAAATTCGCTCGGCGCATGCAATTGCCCACATCTAATCCTTCGGACCCATGGTACCCCATGGACTACATGCCTCCAATGAGAGCGTGAGCGCAATCTGTTCCAATTCGATCCCCAAACATCCCGAAGTTTTACTACTCCACATGTAAGTAACCGAGTGCTAGAGATGAAATAGCACCATTTTCTGCAGATGCTGGAGTAACCGTAAGGTGGACCTTGGAAGGTGTGTTAGTGTACACCTTCCTTCTACACATGTACAAATTCGATGTCTGCAACTCTGAAATTCATAGACACCCGATTCGATGATCGGGTTGTAGAGTTAAGGTTGTCGATTCTACATATCGACCAAGGTCATAATGTGAAGAATCAAGGTGAGAGGTCCTGTGTTATTTGGCCCTAGTGAGTCTCAAGCTCTGATGAGACCCATTAACTTGACTCGCACCCCAAGAGTGTGGATGTAGTTGGACCCAAAGTATGTATAGTTGTTGCAAGCGTGTGCTCTGTGAACATACCGATCAACAACGTATTAATCTAGTTAGCTCGTCTTTGTATGTCCCTTGATATTCGAGTATCTAGTGGAGGAGAACGATTCGAACGCTGTTTCATGTCGTCTGGCTCTGTGGACGAAAGCCTGGTCGTGGAAAAAGTTCTACAGCTTGGGTTCGGTTTTGTTCTGGGCATGCCCATTGTACGCCATTGTTGACAACTACTGTAAAACTTGGTTCACTGTTTTGTAGTGACAACTCTTACCCGTGACTCGATGGTTTATTTATGTCCCTGAATGAATGGCTGTTGAGCAACAACTCTTGCTGCGTGTCGAACATAGGTCCTGTGTTCCATGCATCACTCCCAACTGCCAAATCGTCGAGACAGTTATCGGTCAAGAGGAAGACTCTCAAGATTGGAGTGCCGCCCACATCCTCGGTAGCAATGTTGTCATGTGTTATGGACGAAGTGTTCTACTGTGGTCAGTCAACGAAAAACTTGTTATTTTTCTCATGTGAGGGAACGATGTGTATTATGTAAGTTGTGCTTGCAGTGCATTGAAACATAGGCACACTGAAATGACTGTTCCAAGCATTCAGACTTGTGAATTGGCCGTTGTTGGGGCAATCTCATTCAACCAGCAAACTTGCAAGTTTCTAGTGGCTCTCTCCCTCACCCTCAGAACATATTCATTCTAACAATAAAACACACAATCAACTCATTGAAAGTTCAGCCATAGTTTATATCATTACAGAGTACTGTGAAAATATGAGTCTATGTGTACATGGATCCATCAATCATGGGCATCATAGGAGAGGTGGGGACAGTGTATAATTGGGATCTCTGGTAAGCGTCCATCAGGTTTGGCATGGGATTATTATTTTTATTATTATTATTATTATTGCCATCACTGTTACAAAGACTTATATTTCACTCTCATGTTTCTCTCAACATTGATTGTGATGCTTTGAACAGCAGGACTAGTTCAGGGAAATGTGGCAGGAGCTGCTATCATTTTGATGTACAATCAAACACCATTGTTTGGATCCTAAGCTTTGATTGTGTTTTGATTATATATATATATATATATATCTATCTATCTATCTATCTATACATGCATATATATATATATAGAGAGAGAGATTGAAAATATATATATATATATACACATGTGTATACAAAGGTTAGACCAAATGACATGCCATTATGCAAGGGTCTCATGTTGCCTTAGAGCATTGCCACCCAAAGCCTCCACTCTCAAACCCCCTTGCAAGATAAAATGAGAAAAAAGTGGCCTCTATGGACTACCCCCTCTGCCTGGTAGAAGCCAAAGCTGGTGCTTGCTAACCGCCCTACACTAGCTCCGCTGAGGTTCCACTCCAAGCCTTGACATCTACAGGAGAGAGATGATTCTACTGTAGGCCACCAAGGAAACAATCCATTTTGCAAGGGCCAATGACCAAGGCCACAGTAGAGCTCTTTTTTAGGTCGGGGCAGCTTAGCCAGCTGTTGGCGATACCAGTAACCATATTCTTAGCTCCGCTATTGTAGGTGCCCTTTCAATTTTTTTTTAAGATCTCTTCTTACTTAATAAATGGTATATTAAAAATATGGACTGAGATTAATTATCTTATTATTTCGTAGGGTTTCCTCACACAAGTTTACATTTTGAAAAGATCATATTGTTGCACAATCTTAAATCATAATTTTAAATAATAAAATAAAATAGAATAAAACTTAGAGAAGGATTGAAGGAAATAGACAAAGGAGGTGGAACATGAATAGATGTAGGTAACATGGGGTTTATTTCTTGTATCTAGATAAGCCATTGCACCCATATATAGATATTTTGTGAAAAAAATGTGATAGCAAGAGAATAATAATAATAATAATAATAATTTGTATGAGAGAGTTTGTTGTGTAGATGAAAAACTATGAGGTACATTGTCCACACCATTTTATTGGGTTTGTTGTGACAAATATAGTATGTTTTCTTGAATAGATGCCATTATGTAAAAATATTAGTCTTTAATATTCAAAATAAAATTATTACATTCAATTTGTGATGTAAAATAAGAGAATCTAATATAACATAATTTTTTTCTTATCAAATACATACTTTAACAAAAAAAAATATTTAGTTGAATAATTTATATTATTAACTTGGTTGAATAATTTACTTAGATGTATAATTTAAAGCCTTTGCAAAAGACAAATGTGTAAAAAATTTAATTTAATTTAAATTATTTTCATATTAAAAGTATGTATCAAGTTCTAAATCCAAGTACGTAGCAAAGTAACTTTTCAAAAACCTTTTTTCCTTTAATATTCAAACAAACCACAACAAATTAACATAGCATTAAACACTATGATACAAAGTGATATTTGTCATGTTTAATAAATTTTGAGTGATTTCTAGAATCAATATTGAATAATAAAAAACCAAGTCACCCACTCCTACATTTAAAGTAAAAAAATGTTTTGAAAAAGTTTTGAAATTGTTCAAAAATGTTTGAAACAGCTGTGGACTTCACCACATTCATACCCTCAATTTATATTCAGAACAAAGCTTGTGAAACTGTCGCCTGCCAAATCGGATGAAGCCAAGTTCCCTGCCGTGGGAAGGGGGTTCTTCGATGGCAGGCGCCGGACGGAGGTCACGGACGAGTCATACCACGTTCGTCAAACCTTCGTTCAGTTTTCGTTCATGTAGCTAAGACGAGAAAGCTCACCGTTCGCGGTAGGCATGGAAGGAACTGAGACGGAGATTCCATGAGACGGAACGAATCGGCGATATTTGGACGTCCGTCGTGAATGCGACGAGAGAGCGGCGGTGCCCGTCGCGGGACTGGTGTCGCGGTGAAGAGAGAGCGATGCGTCCTAAACACTATCGGAGATGGTCAAGGTCAAGCGAGGTTCGAGGAGATCCGGGTACAACATGCGACTCCGATGGGCGACGTTTTTCCTGCCGGTGGTCATCCGGGTCGTGGACTGTCGGTACGGAAAGAAGCAGCCCTGCAGTGGTAAAAGGCGTCAAGCGCTCGTCATGTTGACTGAATCGGGAGTGCGAGGGCAGAAGATGAAGAATGCGAGAGTGTGCGTGTCCTGTTGTAGTGATAGTCTACATGACGGTAGCTCACCACCGTTCGACCCTTTTCACAACGGTGCAATATCCCTGAGAACCAAGCCGCGACCAACCCCCCTGGAGCTGGGAACTTTTTTTTCCTTCCTGGCAGGATTCACTTCTATAGTGTAGTTCCCCGCTGTAGTCTGCAGAATATCCCTCTCCAGAGCTCACGGAGATCTGCCCAAGTAACCACTAACGATGCGTACCAGCCACTTTCGATTGATTGTCTGCGTAGGAGAAACCTTGACGGTCAAGTCAGGGCTGTGAGATATAGGTGGAATGATTATTTGGTAGCTTAGGACACTGAGATTTATGTTCTCATTTGAGCATACGAGCGTCGAACTCTCGTCCGGACTGTTTGGATTGCGGCACTGAGTGGCGAGGAACTTCTCTTCAGTAGCGAAGGACTTGTCTTGTATGAGAAGGAGTTTGGATCGGTGGGTGCAGCTCGACTAGAGACGTGGGGTAAGAAGAAGGGCAGGGCGAGGCATTTAGATGGGTTCTGTTTTTTAGTTCTGTTTTCTTCTTTTATTTTTTGATTGAGAGTAGGGGTCATGGAAGGGATCGATTTTGTTTAGCTTCTATGGATTGCCCAAGTGTTGGTATGCATGGAAGACACTCTTGCCTTGATCAAGTTACAGCTGATAATCTGTTCGAGAGTCATGGGGAATATTGCGTAGAGTGTCGAGATTCATCGCAGTGTTATTTGAGGTTTCGGGAACTGTTCAAGTGGGGGTCATTTCTTAGCATCAGAATATCAGGTGCTTAGTTCATTTTTACAGGAAGTCGTTTAAATCAAACGGGTTAACTCCAGATTATCAAGAGAATTCGAAAAGCACCAAAAGCAGTGTCCTTATTCTACATAGTATCATTCAATCGAGATTGTATTTAGGTGTTGCCCAAACCAGGAATTTTGATAGTTAATCGGTGAGACTCCAAGTGGTATTAAGAAATAAGAAATGGTGAAGAGAGACTAAAAGACTAACGGATTCGATTCTTCACAATTTGAGCCCCAGCGAAGTCTACTTATTTCAAGCAGGTGGACAACTAAGAAACATCACAACAACGCGAGCCAGTTGTAGCATTGGTTGCATCATTGGTCAGTCGTCAATTTTCTTAATTCAACAAGTTTAACTTCCAAAGATCTCAGTGCACTCACATTTTTTCTTCACAAACGTATAGATCGACGAGAGCAGATCTTCACAGAAGGAAGCACCAGCTAGAATGCGACAAGCTGACCAAATTTCAAGAAAATCCGGCCTTCTATTGAGTTGGAAAAAGACCTAGCAATGGCCAATTGGCAATGGGACTGGGATTTTGAGCTGGAAGGCCAGCAAGAGTCACCATTGTCAAGCTCCCCGCTGAGATCGTCCAGCTCTCCATGCAGCTTAGCAATTCGCAGTGAAGAGCATGTGGCGCAGGAGCCATTGTCTGACGATGGGCAATGCAGGGACGAAATGGGAGTGGACAACTCCCCAGCCAGCAGTAGGTCTCTTGTTCAGACGCTACAAAAGTGTCTCACTTCGCTGCCTCAGTACACCAATATGACCGACTGCGCCCGGCAATCAATGAGCGACCCAGCTGGTGCCGCACCTACAACTTCAAGAAACTTCAGCTCACCGTCGAAGTCTCTTGGTCCTACAAAGCCATCTCCGAAGCGACGGCAGCGCCCCTCACGACGCACGCCCGTTACCGTCCTTGAAACCAATCCATGGGAGTTCCGAGATACGGTCCAGAGATTAACCGGCCTCCGCGCCGCGCCGAATCCAAACGCTGCACTGGTTCGACCTCAGCCTACGCGACCGGGTCCCAGCACCTTCGTTAGACCCGATTACCTGCAGCCCCTCCGTCCGTTTCGTTCAATTTCCACCCCTACTCCTCAGCCGAACCCATTCATCACTCCCCTTAGTCCCCCAATGAATCCATTAATGCACCCCTCCCTCCTACGATCCCGCTCGTCGGAGTTAACCATGCCGCAATTTCCTATGCGAGAGCCGGTGGAGAATATCACAGAATTACTGTACGAACCCGAGTTTCGAAACTTGACGCGCGCTTTGCCGGTACCCGCGGCTCCACTGCAACAATTTAGGCTGGATGCACAAAACTCATTACGGAACGTCTCCAACCTCGATGACGAGATTATGGCAAGCGGGTCATTGCCTCCAGATTTCCCAAGTTTTCGTGATCATGCTTCGAACGGTTAACTAACACACGTGGGTCTCAGTGGTATCTCCATCGACAATGGGTAAATTTGTCAGGACCATTCAGATTGTGAGAAACGGACGCAATCGTGATTTTATTTATTTTTACTTTTTACTTTTTAAAAATCTCAAAGCTTCACTTTGCTTTTGTGTATACGACATTGATCATAGCCTGACCACCAGTTATTAGAACCACAGTATGTGGAGCTTGTTTGAATCATTCTGAGTAGGTTTGTTTCCTTGAGCAGCGCAGCATTAGATGCTCCATAGTGCAGTATAGAACTTCAAATTTGACCCTAAACGTTCTCTTAGTTACTTGCTGATAATATGAAACCGTGTGCTTTTAAAACGTAGGGGATAGTGGCGTGAGACCCCCATCGAGCTTTCTAGCTTCGACTAATGTACAGATTTTTTCCCCACAAGCTTCAAGGCCAGCTTGTGCTGCATGTCTTCCTCATTCTTTGCCTTTTCTCGCAAACTTCGTGTTCGGCTTTTGCACGGCGAGAGCTCTCCACATAAAGATGCTCCATCTCGCAACATTTCAGCATGTCTGGATTGTGCATGTATTTAGTGGTGCTCTGACAAGGGGCCCAGTCAAGGTTTCAGCAAGTACATGAAATTGTCCTTCCAAGCTCTTTGGGAAATACATGGAGTGGCACCGCCCGCCCTGTAAGTATTTCAATCAGTCTCCTTCATTCCAATCGTGAAATCCAAGGTGCAATCGACCAAACAAGTTATGCAATTTAGTCAAAGATCACTAAAAAACCACCTTGTACCAATTCTGACGTGACGTCTTCCGATCATCGTCTATGAAACATTCGAGTCGGTCTGAACATTCCAACCAACGACTGACACTAATGTCCAGAATTAGGTTTGCATTTCAGCGACGCCGTTCAAGGACACAACTTAAATGCTTGCTGGAAATTCCTCCATTCCAGATCTCTACAAACAGATTTCCAGAGTGGAGAAAAAGTCAACACGTTGGCTTCATCCAATAGTTTTCATTCTCCGATAACCTGGAAATTGGTCTGCTAGGGGTCCACACGCGGCCTACAAGCTTCGGCCTACAAGTTTGCGAAATTCTCTGCTATTCCAGCTTGTGGATCAAATGGTCTAATACTATTCAACTCGAGTTTCAGTGATTGAAATCTCATACCACGGTCAAACTCATGGTACAGATTGCAGTACAACTGCCAACGTCTTCTCAGAGAAATCAGAAGGTTCGAAGAAAAACTTGCTGCATGGTCTGGAGTAAGAGCCTAGACTTTTATGCCGATGGATTGCGGACGTACTCAACAAGCTTGAACTTTACGTTTCAATAGACACTGGTTCCGAGGTTGAATTCTCTCGTGAGACCACGAATGGACACGGAGGGTATAAATAAGTAGAAATGAATGAATGCATGGAGCAGGACCGGGGGAGAAAAAAAAAACAGTTAATTGACCTAGGGCTCTCACTGGCTCCAAGTTTGACTAGAAGTACATAGTAAAATTCCCCTTTGAATATCTTTCCGGGCGATCGTTTTGGTGCTTTGAATGGGGATTCCCAGACTTGACCACGACACGAGGTGGAGAAGTGGCGGAAGTATCATCCCGCTGGCACGAAAGATTTTGTTGCCGAGGAGGGACCGAGCTTTCCCAGGACCTGACGCGGTTTACAACTTGTCCGACAGTAGTGGGGACTGGAAGGGCGGGGGGTCGGAGGTCTAATGCTGCTGCTGTTGATGTTGCTCCGAGTCAGTCCATGTCGATGTATCGGCCCCGGGCAGCAGCATCTGGTGGTGGGATTCCCCCGCGCAAGCATTGAGCTGGTCTGTCTATCTTTCTGTCTGTAGCCATGGTCTGTCCGCTCTGCGACTGGCTCTGCTCGATCCCCGCCTCCCCTGGAGGAGGGTAGTTAAGTGATGATAGAGGGAGGAGGATACTAGAATAAGCATAGTTTTGGTGTTGGTTATATGATGTTCATTGGAGGATGGTAGGAGAAGGATAGTTGGATGATATTTTCTCATCCTCTAAAATTACAAATTTGAAGTTATTTTTCATTAGATGATGTATGATTTCCTAAGCATAGTTTTTAAAATTTTAGTGATTAGAGGATAGATTAAAAGATGACAAAATAGAAGAAATCGTAAAAAATTAAAAAATAAAGATCTAAAAGGTTTAATGTGTATTAATGTAGTCAAATCAATTATATATATATATATATATATATATATATATGATGCCCTAATAAAATCTATTTATAAATGAGACCAAAACTTTATTTGAAATATTCCGGATGAAAGAGGAGAAACTTTTTATTTTTTATTTTTTATTTTAAAAAGACAAGATTGCCTCTTCATTTTCATTCTTGTTGTACTTATTAGAGAAAAACACATGCTACCTTTTCATTAGATTCTATTTTCTTTAAGAACAATTTTCTAAGACTTTTGTGTATTCTGTTGCCTCTTGATAGCCTTAAGCCAGGCTGAGTAGTGTAGGTACTCACATTATAAAGAAACTCATTTGCTTGTTGTTTGACCATGTCATAGAAGAAGTTACAAGATGAAAGAAACTCAATATCTTCCTCTTAATGAATTCTAGGAATTTTTTAAAAGTCATCTCTTGACTATGTTTCCTTTCTTTAATATTATGTGTTTTATTAAGTTATGTGGATGATAAAGGCTACAACTTTTTGGATCCATCTATTTGGCCTTTTAAAAGACAAATGTAAACTATCATATGTTTGAATTCGACAGTTTGGGGAAAAAACCAAAAATAAAAAAAAATGAATTAAAACCGTACAAATTATCATTGTCCAATTTTTAAAATTTGTTTTCTTTTAGGGAACAAATCGGATCTAGATACGGATAGCCCAAATAGAAGAGTACGACTTACCGATACACATATGAGTAATTTAATAAGTAAATGGATATTTTATTTAGACAGGATTTTAAATAAAAATTTAAATATACAAAATAGTGGCATTAAATTATTATAATTATAAATTGACATATCTAAATGAAAATAATTTTTATGTTTCATGTTATTCTAATATAAATAAAAAATAAACATATATATTTTTTTAATTCTTAATTTTTTTTGGAACTATCATATAAATTACTCCAAATTATTTGTGTTTAATCATTTTTCAAATTTTAAACCCAATTTCTTTCTAAAGTACACATTGCATAAAATATTCTCCAAAAAAAATAATACAATGCTTTTAAAAATGATGAATCTGGATGAGAATGTTTCAAGAATTTCAATATTATAACAATGTTTATATAATTATTTATTATTTTTATTTTTTATAACAAATATATTTTGTATTTTGATCAAAATTAAAAGAATTCGAGGCTTTTACTCAATTATACTGTATTAAATTGTTAAGCTTAAATTGATTTTTTTTGCTGAAATTGTTAAGCTTAAATTGCTTACTTATGATAGCTTTATATTCGATTAGCCACATATTTCATCTGCTAAATATATTGATTTCCAGCCCTCAAAACCTTATTTTCTAATCTTCAATAATTATTTTTAAACCTTCCACAACTTTAAAGCTTTGTATTTAGTATATATATAAAAAAACTATATATATTTGATACAATTATATTTTAATAAATTTATTTTTTTATTCTATACATTTTTCAATATAAAAATCAAAGTAAAATTTTGTAATCAATTTGGTTATTTTAAAATTAATTCAGAATATTTCAGACTTCCAAAAGATGCAATAGCAATAGAATTTGTCATCAATTTTGTAATCAATTTTGGCCTTTATCAAAATATAAATGGTTAAATTTTAATATTTATTGTATGATTATATCAAGGAGATTCAACATTTACGAATCCATCATTCTGAAAATATATACACACACAGAGATATATATATATATATATACATATACACACATAAATGTTTTATAATGGAATGTACAATTATATGTGAATATAATGTTTGTGTTTTTTGGTTCCTTGGAGCTAACGATGTTGCTTAGATTGTCTTCGTTTTGTAACAAAATACTTGTTTTTAAAAACAACGATTCTCCTAAAATATTTTACACTCGAGTTTGAAGAAAGAAAGAAGCAATGTGGTATTTACATGACGACATGTGCTAATTTTTATTTGTCCACATTAGTGATTTCGTAGTTTTGATATTATATGTTCATCAACTTAAACAAGTTTACAACCATATGCATTGTGAAACAAAACTACTGCATCACACCCCATTACCTACACCCACTTCTGTTTTTCTATATCTTTCCCAAAGTCCAAACAAGTCAATGCCCACATCAAACAATTGACAAACCTCGTTTCAACTTATTCATTTCTCACACATTTCCTCCCACATTTCTTAAGAAAATGTATCAGGATAGTTTATCCCTCCACCCCTGCCTTACAACCTTGACAGATTCCCACATCAAATGGTAATCAAATCCAAGTGGGCTACGGTCTAAATGAGCACAAAAATGCTAAAAAGTCACACTGTAAACCATAAAAATTACAAACAAAACAAACAAACAAGCGTTGTCTGTACAAGCACTGCAGAATCAGGGTTTCGTAGACAGAAGCTGTGCTGCTGCGAGGGTGTCCAAGTCTGCAGGGAGTGAGGAACATGGCGATGGTGAAGAGGATTCACAGCCAGATATAAGTGTGTCGGAGTGAGTGTGATGCTGCGTGGATGTCACAACGCCACGGTTGCGGTGGTGGGGGTGGTGGAGCTCTTCTGAAGACGCATCACATTGGTCAGCTTCTCCAGCAGCGTGGGAGGGCCCTTTCGCACTAATTGCACCGAAATCACGGTCTCGCCGGCCGCGTGGTCTACCGGGATGTAGGTGTGGAGAGATCGAGATTCGTGCAGCACCTCCCGATTGAACATTAGCTTCTGGCGGGACGCCGGGATGCCGTGCGCTTTCTCTACCGACTTCTTGAGGAGCCTCACCGTGTCCCACAGTGTGCATTCCACTCTGGTTTCAGTGGAGAGCGAGACCACGTTGACGGTGATCTTTCGGCTCTTTTGCTGGCACACGGTGCAGGTGCAGTTGTTACTCTTGGATGAGACCTATACCCAATTCATGCATTTCGAATATCAGTCCATTTACAGCGCGTCGACCTCCCTACCAACCCTAGTTTAGCTCCGACCTCTGAGATGTTGGATCGTTGATTGTAAGCAATGGTGTCCTATCCCACTGCCATGCAAGCATTTAACTATGTGGTGCACAACAGTTTTATGAAGTGATCTCCGTTGCAATTGACGAATAACCTCTAATGGTTCAGAATGTTTCTGAATGACAGACTCAGGGATAATGCTGCGCAATAGTTTGGAATCTATTAGCCCTGCATCGAGAGTTCATTTGCATGGAGATGGTTCATGCTTGTGCATCGTAGGTTTAGGAAACTTGAGAACATATCAGAAGCTCAGGAGAGATGCGCAAGATTGGGCAAGAACCTTGAGTTCTAGAGGTGCGACCCCTGTAACGTTGTAGAAGGCCAAGGGCTTGTCATCGTCCATTTGTTGCCCACGACACACCAAAACCGTCTCGTGGAGACTATGGTTGTTTTTACGACACAGCTTCTTCCTCAGTTGCAGGACTGTGACGGTCCGCGTTGCTTTCACTGAAACCCACATGGTTGGAGAGGGTCTCTTTGATTTGGCGCCGATGCCACAACAAACTTGTATCGCGTTTAGATCTACAGATTTCAAAGGAACGAAGGCTAAGTAAACTCGCAAGTACGAGGATTCCAAAAAGCGTACCACGAATCGTTTTGTGGTACTAAAAAATCGCACTGGTGACCGCCGGAGCTTCCAAGGCGGGCATGTGCGGAATACCCCAAAAACATGAGACCTGAAAACCGTTCGCTAAAAAGTCCTGAATTGTGAAAAATCATTTACAACGAGAGGCTTAAGCAGATACTTCATGACACACACAGGTTCTCATTTCTACGAGACGGCCGAACCCCGTTCAACGTGCACACCCCCTCAAGGGGCATCGAGCGTTTTGTCAGAATGAAACCTCCAGCCCAAAATCATTTACGCAACGGAGACGACGATGACAACCCTTGCTACCAAAAATTCATATTCCGTGCGAAACCGAGGCAAATTACCTGATTGAACGCCTCGATCTCTACCGACAGAGTGACGACCGCACCAGAATCGACGACCATCGAGACAGTCCTTGAATTGCCTTCAGTAGTGGCTCTCTCAGCACCAAGCTTGCTTACAATACTGTCAATCCTTCCACGACCTGTCCAAAACGATGAAGATGAACACGAAGACCCAAGCGCAGCAATCGGTTGCTGGCTTCGGTCAACCAGTTTGTCGGCGAGGTGACGTGGGGCGAACTTCCCGGGTGCAAAGTCCATGGATCATTTGTTGGATTGATTCTTGCTTTGGGAGTGGGTTCTCAATCAATAGGCATTGGTATTGGAGGGTTAAACATGTCATTGCAAAGCATGTTTCTACACTTGTGTTGTGAATATCATAGCTTTATACAACCGTTTGATTTGTGATTAATAGTGGTGTATTATAATTTTGTGACAAAATTGAATTAAGGTGTTACAATTCTTAGGAATAAAAAATTAAATGCAAATAAATATAAGTTTCTTGGTTTGTAACATCAAGAGACAATGGCACTTTAGTACTTGCAATTTTTTTAGTTGGAATTTTGTATTTTGTATTCACAACATGCATAGCTATGTTGTATTAATTTTAAAATCATACCTTATTACTAATAATTGTTGCATGTTAGCATCTAGCAATCTTCTCAACTAAAAAATAACAACTAATCAAATTATGGATTTAGGTTTTAATTAAATTAGTTATGTTTAGTTAAATGATTTCTTGTTAAGATAAATAGCACTAAGATAATAAATTGTTTTTAGAGACTATATAAAACAAAAGAGGATATATAAATACAACTCGCAAAATAAACTAATATTCTAATTTGTAATAACATAAAAAAATATGTTGGCTACAAAATATAAGAATACAAAAAAAATAAAAATTTATAAGTGATATAAGATTCCATCAACTGCCAAATGTTACGGACATAAATATTTATTTTAATATTTATCTATATGATTAAATAGAAGTATGTAAAAGTAAATTTATTTCATAATATTTTTTTTAGAAAAGCTTCCTAGAAGCTTTATAGAAATTACTTTGACTCTACCTATATTTGTAGTTGATTGATAGGTTAGAAACTTAGTCAATAAGTTAATCAAATGTTTATAGCTTGCAGAACAAGCTAACTATGTAGCGCACACATAGAAAACTTATCTTGCAAGTTAAAATATGTATCTTGCAAAGTCAATAGGTTTTGGAGGTCTTATAAGACATTGCTACGTAGCTCTTAGTTAAGAGTATATATGGAGGCAACAATAAAGCCTTCTTCACTCTCGTCAATGATTTTTTGGTCATTAGTCTTATTTTAAGACTTTTTAGTCTTCTTCTCTTTAGTAATAGCCATTCTAATTTAATATTATATTATCTTTGATTGATTTTCTAGTCTTTTCAAGTGACACAAGAGTGTATTGACATTTTAGTTCTTTGAAAATCATATCCTTGACACCAAATGGTTTATTAATGTGACATATATAATATAGCAAGTAAATCTAGAAATAGCTATTAAATTGATTCTTTCAATAAAATACCAAAAATAAGCTATTAATTGCATTATTAAAGAACTCTACAATTCAAGTAGTTAAATTTTATCTTTTAAATTGATATAAAAATTTAAAACAAAAAATATTATTTAAAATAATTTATTATAAAAACTAAATTTATAAAAAAAAATTAAAAACTAAAATATAATAAATATATATATATATATATATATATATATATATATATCATTTTTATTATATTTATTGAAAAAAAACCTTTGAAATCATAATATATAGCATTAAAAAGGTTGCATAAAAAAAAATATGAAATAAGATGACTTTCATTTCTAATATCCATTATTTATAGATAGAGGTTGTTGTCTTAAAAGACAAATTTCACTTTTTAACTTTTATATACATGATCCTAGGATCTTTTGGCATCTAATTTATTACAAAGATATCCTATAGTCTTTAGATCCTTTAGCATCTCACTAACCATGAAGGTATCTTATGTTAAATACTAATTATTTTTTACCTAATCTTTGAATATTTTTTAGTTCATACTTTATCTTCTTGACTTTGATTCTTAGTCCTTTATTCCATCCTATATCTATAGAATGCCCTTTCCATATACCAGTAGTCAATTCTTGACCATTAGCAACTAATCTAAGTTAATATCTTCTACAAGATAACTTATTATGCTTTCACTTTTACTTATTTCTTTTAATACTTTCACTTTGTTATTCATTAAAGGCTTTCAATCTTAATGCCTTTGTTAATATGTAATATTTATCCTTTACTAATGTCTTTATCAACAAATCAATAAACATGTCTTTTGTTACATAATACTTTAGATCAATTACTTCCACATCAATCATCTCTCTTATGAAGTAATGTTGAATATCAATATATTTGATCCTTGAATGATTTTTTGTATTTTTTATAAAAGCAAGACATCCTTAATTTTCACATTCTATTTGACTTGCTTCCATTTTTATTACTCCAATGTCCTTAAAAAATTATATTAGTCATATTGCTTCTATTGTATCATGGTTTATTGCCATGTATTCTGCTTCCATTGTCGACCTTGTAATTGTTGGTTGCTTCTTACAATTCCATGAAATGACTCCAATTTCAACAAAGAAAATATTTTCTATTGTTGACCATCTATGATTTTCATCTTGAATCCAATCTACATTACAACAACTATGTAAAGTAATGTTATTACCTTCAAGATACAATTTCAAGTACAAAGTATCTTTTATATATTCTATGATCATTTTGATGATTTTTCAATGGATTGGTTTAGTCTTTGATATGTATTAGCTTATAGTATTCATTGTATATGCAAGATCCACTTTTTTGCCAACTATTGCATACAAAATGAGCCTACTATTATATTGTATGAAATACCTTGTATTTGACCTTCAACTTCAGCAAACTTTTTATCTATGAGCTTCATCAACTTCAAATTGGCCTCCAACTTCAACTTCTAATAGGCTTATATTCCTCCATATTGAATCATTTTAATATCTCTTCAATGTACTTGATTTGGTTCATAGTAATGGTCTTCCTAGCACAATCTTTCACAAACTCTATTCCTAAATAATAGTGAAGCTCTTCTAAATTATTCATTTTATATTTTTTTTTCTAAATTTTCCCTCAATTAATCCATTATCTTTAAGATATTGATTAAGATGATTAAATCAACAATACAGAAGCTGTCAATTAATAAAAATTCATTTGATTATATTATATGAATAAAATGGTTAGTTTCATTCTTTATAAATCCTCCATTCATAAAGAACATGTCAATATATTGATACTATGCCTTTGGTAATTGCTTAAGACCATATAAAGATTTCTTCAGCTTATAAACAAGGTATTGTTTGCCTTTGACAACAAATCCTTGAGGTTGATCCAAATAGATGTTTTTTTTCAAATTTCTATTTAAAAAAGCCATCTTCACATTTATTTGATGCATCTCCAAGTCTATTGTTGCCTCAATTGCCACAATAGTTCTAATGGAAGTGAATTTGGCCACATGAACAAATATCTCATTGAAATTAATATCAATAACTTATAAATATTTTTTTGCAATTAATCTAGCCTTGTATCATATAACATTGTCCATTATATCATTTTTGGTTCTAAATACCTAATTATAACCAATTGAAGATCAATTTGATAGAAATTGAGTCAATTTCTATGTTTTATTGTCTATGAATGATTTGTATTCTTTTTTTATAGCATTCTTCATCTTTATAGCATCTATTTATATGTATTCCTGCTTGAAAATATATCAAATACCTAATTATGGAAGGTAAGTAAAATTATAACTACAATTCTACTAAGTCTAATAAAACCTTAAATAAAATTCATGTAATCCATAATAAATCCAATCAAACTTTAACCTATCAAAATAAATTTAAAAGTAGACACAAAAGAAATACAAAGAAGTCATGATTTAATTTTTTTTAAAAAAGAAAGAAAAAATCTTAAAGAAATATAAAAATAAAACTTTAAAGAAATAACAATAATCTTAAAGAAATATTAAAAATAAAAAATTAAAGAAATAATAAATAATCTTTTTAAAATATTAAAAATATTAATATTAATATAATTCTAATTAATAACTTAATAAAATCATAATCAAATCTTAGATCAAATCTTAATTGAAACTTTAATTGAATCTTCAAATCTTAGATCAAATCCTGATTGAAACTCTAATTAAATCTTAATCAAATCTTAAATCAAATTCTAATGAAATTATAGACATATTTTAATCAAATTTTAGTCAAGTTGTAAATTAAATCCTAATTCTATTTAAATTCTAGACCAAATCTTAAGTCCTAATCAAACCGTAGAAAAACTTTAAATCAAATCCTAATCAAATCTTAGATTTTAAACAAACTCTTTATAAATCTTCTAGCAAAATAGAACTTCAATAATTAATGATCAAACAATGGATATAAAATCAAAAATTTTATATTTTTTAATATCTTGAATAGAAACAAGCACAAGAAAGATGAAATCAATTTCACTTATCAATTGAGAGAAATATAAGATAATCAAATTAGGTGTTGGGTGGCCTCCTACTCCAACCTAAATGTTAAACTTCTAGTACCAATATTTTCTTCTTGAATTATTGAATTGCTCTCAAATTTCATTTAAACATTGGAAATTAAATCTAATATCAAAAAAAAAAAAAAAAAATCACTTCAATCAAATTGACAAATTTCTAAAGATCTTAGAAACACTCACTAATCCACAAACTCCAATTTTTGAAACCTCAACACATAAAAACTCTCATATACTTCAATCTAATTGTTTGATTGACATCAAAATTTGCATATACATTTAAAACTAAGACATCTACATATTATCTAAATTTCATCCATACATACATAAAAAAACTCAAAAAACCTTCAAATTTATAAAATTATTTCTATATTCAAATTCTAATCCTACCAAGACATTATTAATTTTGAAAATCCCTCAAAATCTTAATATTGATCCAAATGACATGAAACTAATGCCTAAAAATTTATTTTCAAGTTTTTTCTCAAAATTCATTGTTTGATCTTCATAATAATCCTAAAGTCACCATAGAAGTACAATTTTGTGCCTTGAGTTCTGATTTTGATTCAAATTGATAAGTGATCCTCTTTAAATAACAAATTTTTGCTGCTTGAGATAAATTTTGCTAAAATCTACTC